TACCTGTATATGTTAATTAGTCGCTACTTCGTGGATTTTCGTTTATCGCGGGTGGTTTTTGTCCCCATTAACCACGATAAATGAGGGATTACTGTACTGTATTTCTTTATTTCTCCTGGATTTTTTTTTTATTTCTCCCTACATGCCATGTATGAACTGGACATTGATATAATATAGTAACTATAACTACGAATCTACACACACACACACACACACACACACACACACACACACACACACACACACACACACACATATTCACTAAGTACATTTAAATTACAAAAAAATAAATGAATACACAAAGTCTCAAGCATGGAAAAAATACAAAAAGAGCAACAACAAGGATCACCTACAAACATTCATTTTGGCTAGAATTAGTGCCACTGTACGCTCTGCTTTGAACCATTGTAATTCCTCACTAATGCAAGTGTGAGTAACAGGTACAGTGGGCTCCCTTAATTTGAATAAAAATATCAAATCACCCAGCAGCTGACAAACCACACCCATCCTCACTGTTGCTTGTCCTCATTACAGGTGCCAGTAAAATAAAAAACAAACTGTTGTTTTATATATATATATATATATAGAGAGAGAGAGAGAGAGAGAGAGAGAGAGAGAGAGAGAGAGAGAGAGAGAGAGATGTATACAGAGGTGGATATTGGGTAAGCATTGGCAGAATATCCGTCATGCCTGTTTTGCTGACATAAATTTCCCACCTCTATACACGGGGACGGGGCAAAGGTGGAAGCAATTATTATGATGAGGAGACTCAAGGGCAGGAAAAAGCTTCTGAAACGGGAGGAAACAATTACTGGAAAATAAAAGCATTCATGACAACATGAAAAAGAGGACTTAAAATGTGAGAACTTAACAAACATCGAGACATGACAGCACCCCTCCCTGTAGGGACGTCTCCAGATGGCCCTAGATTCTGCCAGCCACAAAGTCCTTAACTCATCAGTGGCAGCCATTTTCAGACCAAATAATAAAAAATAAGTAGCCGAGTCTAAAAAGGCATCAAAATATGACTGGAAGTGAATCAATTCATCAAGTCTTTATGCTCAATGAAACTTGCATGCAAGAATCCAGGATCTCTCCCGCGGTCTGTACCCGTCCTCGTTACCTAGAAATTGTTGACCACATCCACGCTTTTTACAGCCAAAAGTCTTTTCACAGTATTAACAAGTATAAAGGCAGTGGCTTGTCAGAGGGACGAGGGAACTCTGATTAACTGGCTTAATTTTGGAGATGCAGAAGGTGGGGTGAACCAGGAGAGACCTTGGAAGACGGAGACGAACAGAGACAGGGTTTAACACTTGGTGCTCAGTCAACTACTCCATGTCTATAAACCTTTGAGTCAAATGTCTACTACTTTTAAGACCCACAAACTGAAGGTAACATTTCAATAAAATGGCTGCCATTTCTATAAATGCCCTATTTCCATAAAACATCTTAAATTTAACCGGAAAGCACCTACTCACAACTTCACTACAAATACAGTGCTGATAAATAAAAGCAAGATGATAAAGTCCTTGGCATTGTCTCAATATTCAACTAACTGTCCTTATAATGGGATTTTTTTTTTTAAATCATCCATTCATCTCGAATCATGTTCACAACAAGTGAATCGCATGAAATGCACACCCTGGCGATGATGTCTGTTTACAAAGTTGCTAATGTGTGTGTTAAAGATGGTATCCACGCTAGACTTGTTAACCTATTAAGTGTATCTGTCACATGACAGTGTCAACAGTGTGACAGGCTTTTCCACCGCCGGTCTGCGCTCATACTCTTGACTGTCAAATGAAGCCGTCCAACGTTTCACAGAAGACGTTTTCTGTTGGGTTTGGGTAGTTCACTTTTATTTACAACGTGGAAACATATCAAACATCATTTGTGGATGGAATGAAAGCCATCGAAGAAAGGACAGCTTTTGATGGTCAAGACAACATGGAAATATTTTTTTCTTACATAAATACACATTTTAGAAGCATTTGGAGGAGTTTGTCTTCAATATGCTATAGTGTATCTCCATTTTAATCATTGTCAGAAAATAAATACATTTATTTACTTCACGAGCAAAATTAACAATCTGAATCTGGACATGTTCAACAAATAATACTTGAATGGATCAGTGTTCAAGAACCATATGAGTTGCTCATGGGCGTGTTCGAAAAATAGCTCGTCTGCAACGCAACGTTTTGATTTTCTTGGAATGGTGTGGAACACCATTTTCAAGAAATTAATAATCATCATGATCAGTTTTCTCACATATCTTTGCTGTCCAGTGAAAACCCCCTATGTCCAAATATGGTCAAACTACATTTTTTTTTTACAAATCCAAACAAAAGGTCCATCCCCACTTCTATTATTTTTATGCAATTGTAACCAATTTAAAGTGGTCGAAATCGCTTGAAAACAAAAGCATTGCCGCACCTGAACGCAATTTATATCTGAGAATCATTTATCCCCACCGTGTTCTCGTTCTGCGGAAGGTGTGTAGAGTAATTGTCACCTGGATTGAACATATGGATGATTTTTAATAAAGCAATGTATATTTAAGTTGTCTTTTTTTTTTGGTCAAAATCAATCGTTATAACGCCTTGCTGCAAAAGGACCCTTGTGAGCCATGGAGGTACGTTAGTCTCAGTGGAATATTAATATCCATTTGTTTGATCATTGTTTTATTGAATGCATCACTCCTGCCTTACGACCCTTAAGAATGAGATTATGATGATGACATAGGGCAGCCATTTGCTTTTGTGATGTATTAAAAGCCTTTTTTTACACGTTAGTGGCTTGGCATGTCGCTGGCTTTGTGTTGATATTGTTTTAATCAATGCCAGCGTAATAAAGTAGTGATTTTTTAAAGCAGATTAAATTTGTGATAGGATGCAATTTGGGGGGTGGCGTTGTGTTTATGTGAGTGTGCAATGGTATAGGACAGCAATATTAGGTATAACATATCTTGAACAAAGCGATCTCATGGGAACTCAAACAAGCTAGTGTTTCTTTTTTTTTTTTTTTTTTTTTTTGATATCCTGAAAAGGATTCCACTCGACACCAATGATGCATGAATGCCATTCATTATGAATAACATATGATGAATGGTAATTCGAGTGTAATTTCAGGAGATTGTAGAAAAACTTCTCGCCATTTAAATGAATCAGTACCCAAGAAGTAGCAGTTTGGAAATGCATCCATGTGCCACAGTGCAAAACCTAAAAATACTTTAATTGTCTTTATGGGCTGTGCTTTTTAAAACATGTTATTTTATAGGTTTTTTTTTTTTTTTTTACTGGGCGAGGTATCAGTTCGCTTATTTGAATGAAACGGGGTTAGCCCCTTAAAACAGGGCGGGCTAATTTCAGCAAGATATGAAATATATAGGGTGGTTAAAGTAGAATTAATATATTTCTTGATCTTTGGGTTATTTTGATGAAAGTATGTCACAGACATGCTAATAAAACAACTGGTACCAGGGAATTCTTTAAGGCAGACCTACTTTTCAAAATCTGGGATGATTACTGTATTGACAAATATAGCAAGCTATTGAAGTCAATGAAAAAGAAAGCACCAGCAGAAGTATATGACAAACAAGGCTTACTGTAGTATTATGCCAGAATAGTCACAACCGTGAAGGGTATGCTGCACGCTGCTATGGCTCTGAAATGAATACAATGGTGACCTAAGTCTCCAGAGCCGGAGAGAGCGGACATCACAAAAAGTATGCATTCGTTACAAGAGTATATGTTTTTAAAAAAAAACTTCCTCTACTACATTATAAATTACACAAAATCTGTGAAATGATAAATACCTAGTGTCTTCTTTTAGTATATCCTCCATTATCAAAGGGTAGAACAAAAATGTGTTTGTGTTCCCCTACTTCAATAATGAATGTGCCACTGCCTCTTTTACGGTGAACTCGCGCCTGTGACTCTCCCCTTTTTCGCTTGCTGTCCATGGGGAAGTTAGCATTTTTAGAGCTGGGTATTATTTTTTTGATTTACAAGTTGAAGTATTTTAATACATTGCTGTGCCATAGAATTTGTGTAGGGGTTTTGACGGGAGGGCGTTGTTTTCTGCTGTTTTGTGATTGAGACGATTCAACGCAACCAACACAAGAAATCCTTCTGTGCGTTATCAATATTCTTAAACACAACGCAGTCGGACACCATTGGTTACATATGCCATACTGTGATGCCTCCAAAATGATGAAAAAAAAAAACCCAAAAATATTTTTGGGGAAAACACACTAAGACCTCTGTTGAGCAAAGCACATACGACTCAAAGTCTCAAAGTTGTTTACACGTTTACAAATATGCGACCCCCATCTGTAGAATGATACATGATATTCCTTCCATTCGATACATTCCTTCCATTTACATAGTATCTGCTCATTCAGAAACAAACACTGTCATGTTTTCAACACATTTCATTGCAACATCATTCTTTAATAGTCTGTACTCTGCTGTCTCCATGAATCTTAGACATTACAGATGGCACGCGACATACCGTGGATAGATGGATGTTATCTGTCAAAAAAAAAAAAAAAACTGGTGGCAGTCTGCTCTGTGTCGAATATGGTCTATGGTCATTGTTAGACTCCGAATCGGTAAAAGTTATGAAATGTTCTCTTTGCCAAATGGGTTACTGAGAAAACCATAAGGCATCCTTAAGTGCAGAAAATAGGAAATCATTGCACTCCCTTGGACTCTTTGCAGTAAAAGCACAATCAGAGAT